GCAAATGGGAGAATTTCATTCTTTTTTATGGCAGAGTAGTATTCCATGGTGTATCTATACCCAATTTCCTTGTCCAATCATCCATCAATGGACATTTAGTACAATTAGGCATAATTAGCAACATTTTGATTCCTGCTTTTGGAGAAAATCAAGCAGCTTAGAACAATAACTTAATTTTACTAGGTTCTTATATACTGTTTTTTTGAAGTATCCAAAGCTTAGTAAAAACTAGACAAATTAAGTAAGAAAAACTCAGTTTGTTGAACACAATGGAAACCACCTGCATTGAAAGTATCACAATAGACAACAAAAAGGGACAATACTCTAACTTTGGTTGTCAGTATTAGAATTTTATCCAAATGATCAACCTCTTCCCACAGAACCTTTGAGTAATTCTTTCTTTCTTTACCTCCTATGAGGGAATCTAGTGAAGCTCTACCTCTCTTAATGCTTGAATTAATAATACAGTAGTAGCTTTCTTCAATACTATTTCAATATTTTATCCAGAAAATGCCTTTTCATTAATCTAGAATAACAAATAGGACCCCTGATTTAGCTGCTATATTTTTCATTTCCAAGAATTCTGGACAAGGGCTATGAATCCTGTTCCTAACTGTACACATGTATGCTTTGTCAGTGACTAAATGTACGTAGTGGGAAGGAGCACTTAGCAGGTTGGGGAGTGGGCAGAGGACCCTAGGTAGCTGATTTTAAAATTCTCATCAGCCTGTTTAGATGAGGCTTCTGGCCGGATTCTTTAATCCCAGGCATGTTGATTTTAGTGTCCAGAGAGAATGTCCTAAGAGATGAAAAGCTCTGCAAGTCTAGAGGTAGGACTGAGAAAATGCACAGTGTTCTCTGAGGGAACACTAGAGAGGAGTGAGAGGGCGCACAAAAAGAGGTGGAGAGAAGACTCAGGGCAAGAGAAGCTTGGGCAAATGCCGAGGCTTATTATTTGTCTGATATGGAAATGGAGTACAAGGAGTGGTCAAAAATCTAGGACATATGGATTAGTGCTGAATACAGAAATCAAAATAGTGAGGTATTTCCGAGGTGAAATCAGCAGTGTAAAACATTGTAGCTGTCAGATTAAAGACTGACCATGGAATTTGTCCATAAAGAAATGTTATTAGTAATGTTAGAGAGTATTTTTACTATGTTTTATTATGTTGGAGAGACTGGAGGGCAGGGTTGCTTACTGAGACTACGGGTAAATGAAAATTCTTGAAAACTAGGCAGAAGAGTTTCAATATAAGCAATAAGTATTCAGACTTTCAGTCAGAAATCAATGTTTGAGTTGTCCTAAATTATTTGCTTATGTTTCTTTTCTCAATAATAGATTTATAATTAACCTCTTCACTCATTGAGAAGAAAAAAAGCTCGAGTTTCTATATTAACATTATTTTTGCTTTTTTTTCAGTACCCAGTGATCACCATTAAGGTAGGATAACTGCTAATTGAAGACTCATTTTCTCATTTATTGAATATCTCCTCTAGCCTCAAAATCAGAAGGCAGTTGTAGAGCTAGGGCTGGGTCTGGAGTTCACAGACTACTCAAGCCCATTCACACACCCTTCACATGCAGGTCTATGAGCTAGGTAACA